TATTTGTCTACTACTTCCTGTTTTTATGCCGACGAACTTATCATGATATAGTACTGATAAATCTTGTAAGTAGCACATGCCACACCCCTTTATTTATGAACCTTATGTGGTAAAGCACCATTCACTAGGTAATCACGTCCATTTCTTTTCAATCCCTGTACATTCTATTGGGGATGAATTTGTACAAAAGGGAAATGGTGAATGTGAGATCAACTGTAAACGAGCAGTTATCACACGAATTCATTTTGGATACTAGTGATGATGGAACTACAGATCTTGGTGTTATTTCACTGCTTTGTCGAATAATTATATCCTAATTGAATCTTTCAATGGTAGGTTTATGTTAAAGTCACCAACTTCGGTTTGAGCCTCTGAGAAGTATCTCAGCGCTCTCACTTCTGATGACACACCAGTTATGATGGAAACTTCAAAAATTCTAGGTCTATTGCGCTGTAACGTATGGATTGATATATGCAATTTACTATTATTTATTATTATTATACAAATGGTGCTAATTAAGTTTATACATATGCACAGTAGCATTTTACTATCATTTATGATGCTTCATATGTGATTCGCTTCTGGTATATCTTTCTTATATTCAGAAGATGAATAGTTATCTACAAAAAGTCCCGCGTGTAACAGAGCTGTTGTCTTAGGGTAGGTCATGTTTTGATCCAAATCGGGAAAAAGAATCTACTTAAAACCGTGTGGGGTCCCACACACAAAAGTCCTGGTTAAATCCTTTAAATATCTCTTCAACCTGCAATTTCAAAAAACACATTTTATACGCGCCTGTTGATATTAATTACTTCATGGCCTTTTTCGACAGATTCCATCTGCACAGCTTTACGATTGACATTTTCAACAATAGGTACTTAGTAGAAGGGAAATTCGGATGCATAGGTTTGATTTAGAGATTAAGGAGACAATGGTTCACATAGACTAGTTGGTCCCAGGGTAGATTAAAGGGACATTCTGCTGAGGTCATGTGCTAACAACAGCCTATTTCGAGCCGGCAACATCTCGCTTTACAGTCATTGCCCTAAGGATTCTATGAGTACTGCCTATATCACTTAAGCTCATACTGCTATCAGCTACAAATACCATGTTCGAGTGTTAGTTTTAAGGGATTTGATTGGTTGCAGGATTTTCATCATGAGGTGACATTAATTAGAGAAACATTAGAAAACCTGGGAGTACTGGACAGCTGTTTCGTCCTAGTTTGGGAATCTTCAGGAGTACACATCCACCGGGATTGTAACTTGAAGGTCCTGGTTTCGAATCTCGGTGGGTGTGTACTCCTGAAGATTCCCAAACTAGGACGAAACAGCTGTCCAGTACTCCCAGGTGGTTTTCCAATGGTTCTCTAATTAATGTCACCTCATGATGAAAATCCTGCAACAAATACCATGTGTTCATTTATACAGCTTCTCCTATTGGAGTATACTTTTGAAGTTTAGTTATCATTTAGTGTGTTTTGGTGGTCACCATTATAGGCAGTTTAAAATAAGCTGCTACACTGCATCTAGTATTGAGAGATGAATAGTGGCAGCCTGGGCAGAAAGAGTAAAGCTTGAGAATATTTAGCTAACAAAAATCGAAATTAAGTGAGCTCTTCGTCCATCAGTTCCTCCGATTGGATAACTAGTAGCTTTTGTAAGTCATTTAGGCGAAAAATGGGTAAAATCAAAAACTGCGAGGTCCGGTGATCGCACAGCATGCATGAAATCGGAACAAATTCTATGCTCTTAAATGCAAATTAGGCCCTGAATACTGAGTGGCGACAGAGTCAAAATAATACTGAGTGGTCAACCTGTAATCTAGGCAAATTTCACACAAACTGTTAAACGAAGATCTGCAAGAGAAGACGGAGTACAAACTGAAGAATGTATGCGTAGCATATTGGGACGTCTTGACTAAATTGAGGAAAAGTTTTCCCGAAAAACCATGGCGAACAGCATGGGCTGAAATTTCACACGCCTAAGTACTGCCGAAATTCTTGAGTCGTTAGGAAGATGGCAGGTACAATGGGATGTCGCGGTACCGGAATTCAAAACTAAACTAACCATGGAGGAATACTGTCACAAGGCTGTCGAAGAGCTAGACCTTTTGGGGTATTATGTCACCACATCCATTAATTGGAGGATAATGAACGTTTTATTAGATCCAAAATACAGCACCCAGTTCTCGCAGGCAGCCACCAGTTACGAAACGGCCTTCAAATAAACGAGAATTTGCTACCTCGTGATGTGTAAGTGGATGTTTTTATTCACTGCAGTCTTCAGGTATCGTAAACGGTTTTCACCAAAAGGCCCAGTGAAGAACTTAAAAACATCCATTAAATGGTGATTCCATAACGGCCATGACAAGCTGAAGGAACGAACCGGAAAACCATGAAGGTTTCAATTGGTATATGAACAATTTTCATATGGCGTATTTTTAAATCATCAGGGATTCGAAGTCAAAAGAGATGAAGTTGAACTATGCGGAAACCACTTGTTCAATGATATCTCTAGACTTCAATTCTTGATGAAACAGTGTTAGTGCCTGGATGTTGCAGACAATTCCTGTATACAAAAATGCTCATTAAAATGTCTTCAAAAGAATGGCTACTGAACAAAGAATATTGTTTTCGATAACCTGATCTTCATCAGGTTCTACAGTTATATATACATAATAGTCAGTGGATTAGTGTTATTAACAACATTAATGTTGTTGTTTAAATAACATCGAATCAATGACAATAATAACAGTAATAATAATAATAATAATATCAGTGGATTACAGTTTGATAGCATCAACATAAAATAACCTGAATGGCATAAAAATTAGGAAAGACAATAATATAAATTCATGAATTTATAGTCTTCACTGAAGGCCGGCCAGGACTGTAGTAGTTAGTGGCTAGCTGGACTTGCTTCTTCTGCTCACGAAGCACTGGTTGTTTCAGGCGAATCGTGATAGCTCCTTCTGTTTGGAGTATGCGGTACCTCAATGTTTTTGGCAATTTATTTGATCCCATTGGAAGAAACAATACAAATTACACGTCAACATGCCGAACTTCTTCCTCTGCCCAAGAACGAACTAAAACAACTTTCACTTATGTGCACCAAAGACGTACAGTTCCAGTTCAACAACATTCTGTATCGCCAAATTGACGGAGTCGCCATGGGAAGCCCCCTGGGTCCGATTCTGGCAGATATTTTTATGGGTAGTCTAGAACAAACAAGGTTGAAACCCGCAATTTGAACTTGAGTTTTTTATATTTCTCTTTATTCTTTTCTGTTTCTCAAAGGTATAGTAGGATTTTCCAGGTGTCCTGGTGGACATGTGTTTAGCCATTCCTATTACAGGTGCCTGCAGTTGATTTGATAAATAAAGCTTCAGTTATCAATCTCTCCCTCCACCCTGTGACATTAGATTTTAAAACTGTCATCCTATCCCATCCATCCTATGGTACGGTTGTGTGTAATTGCATGCAGTGAGTGGTATAGCTGAACTATTCTCCAGATTTCCTATCGCACTGGGGTCAACTAATCGAGATTTTTATGTTCCGCTAGTCTGACTGACTGCCTGACGCCATTCTACTACTTAGACCTGTGTTTTTCACCTGACAATCATTCCAGCAGGGTATCAGATAAACTAAATTGTTTTCTTTAATGGACTGTTCTGCATCACTAATCCTTTAACCATCAAAGCTTATTTCCAAATGACTTTGTGATTGACTGAATACCAGCCACTCTTATTCCTGCCACCATTGCTAGGTTTTCTCTGCCGTAAGGTTTCCGAGATTCCTTCTTTGAATGGAAGTACTACTGATGATTTAGATTCTTTATTGTTGGTGTCGTCGTTAATATTATTATTATCACTATTATCATTATCATTATTATTGTTATTATCACTATCGCTACTGTCATTATTTATTTTTTTTTACATTTCCTTACATATTTCCTGACTAATTTATCAGGGTAATTGTAATTTTTCAAGGCTTCTCTTATATGTCTCACTTCCTGACTTGGATTTTCCTTGGTACTACTTAGTTTTTGTGCTGTGTCACTTAAACATTACACCAATCCCATTTGGACTGACATAGGATGGGATGATCGGAAATCCAAATATCGTTCTGAATGTGTGGGTTTCCTGCAAACATTAATGTTTAACATCCCAACTTCTCTCCTTTTTCCGCTACAATCTAACATTGGAAGCTGGTCTTCCTAACTTTCCCATTCATAAGTGAATTGAATTGCCTCCACCTTTGAGTTGATGTGTTCGAAAAATCTGTTTATGTCCTGTGTTCTAAGTACAGTGAATGTGTCATGCACATACCTCCACCATACCTTTGGTAGGGATTGGTGCGGTGGGGCTGAAGGTCTCAATCGCTATGTTTTCCCACCTATCCATGAATATATCTGCCACTATTCAGGAATGATTCAACACCTATCCACCCAGACATCTGGAAAATGCTACTACCCCAAAGACGAAAAATAGGGGAAAAAAGAAAACTATAAAACACAAGTTTTGAATTTGTGTGGTTATAATTGATATGATTGTGAACAATAAATTTTGTTAGAAACCTTGTCATCCAGTAAGTAATAATACTGTTTCACTCACTGTGTGATACATCTAATAAACAAACTAATATGGAATTACACACTACCACAGTGCCCAAGTTTTACACATACATTAAAATTAATCCTTCACATCTCCATACACTAACAACAACACATTTTTACATTAGACGGTTGGAGGGAATCGGCTGCAAGAAGCATTGGACCTAGGTTTCATGCTAGTTGGCACTCACCAGTCAGCAAGGCGTATCTGCAACCTTGAAGGAACTCATGTCCCTTCTGTGATGGCGAGCTACCTAGATTGTTGGTGGCCACATTGCAAATACCTACGACTGACTGATAGAACTCAGTCTGCACCAAACAAACAAAGGACTAGCCAAACACATCACACTAGTTAGTAACTAGTGTCCAATCAGAAAACACATTTATATACTATCATAATATTATTGTATGGCTTTTTCTCAAAAAATACAAAGGCCTGATTTTAAGAGTACTCTAGATAAAACATAATTTGAATATTATCAAGATTGAAATGTCTTCTTTGTAAAAAAAAATCTAAGATGTATCACACTTTTGAAAATAAGAGTTGTACTTCCACCCCACCCCCAAAAATATAGATATATGTATATGTATAACCAGAAAGTTTGGCAAAAGCATAAATTGCACATAGGGCAAGAAAGAAAAAACAAATAGTCAGTAAATTCATGCATATAAAGTGTTGATAAAACAAATAAGTACAAAAAACATGAGATTTCTGATTGGCTGATTGATTGATTAATTGATTCATAATTGTGCGTGGAAAAAGAAAAGAAAAAGCGAAAGACATCCAACCCCTCCCCCCACAAACACACACACACTGAATCAGAGTAAGTCTTGTATAACGATAACTCCATTTTGTAGGCTGTATCCACAATCAATTGACGCCATAGAGTCGCCATCACATAAATCTTTCACCTTTATAATATAAACACTGTAATAGTATGGCTAAATCTAGTCCAATTTGCAGCAGGCCACAAATTGGAAATTGTAACGGAGCTTTCTCTGATATAAAGAATATGGTCTTGAAGATATCGCCTGATGTCCACATTAGAACCATAGCAATACTATAAAAAAAGGGAAGTAAAAATTGTAAAAAAAAAATGAATGTGTTTTGTCTGAGTAAGATTCATAGAGAATCAAAACCAAGTTTTCGAGAGTAGGTGTTAATAATTATTTTCCAATTAATTCAAAAGTTGCAATAAGTTAGGTTAAACTGGTGATTTTAGTGCCTAAGTAACAGACTCGCGGCGTACCACTTATTTCGGTCGGTCGGTCGGTTTTCGACATAGAACTTTGCACTGATGTGCGGCAGTTCAAGTCGCCACACTCCCTCCTTGTAGCACACAAAGCAAGAGAAGAAAGTAGAAGAAATGCATAATATACACAGTAAACAGAGGTGTGAGACAAAGGAGTAGTAATTACGGAGAACAAAACAGTTTTATTGGAAATCATAAGTCACAAGGAGTGAATGTATCTGCGCCACTGAGAACGATTTTGAGCCATGTCACCACTTATTTAAAATCACTCAATCCTAGTTGAAGCTAAGTAATCAGTGAGGAAAGTTTCAAGCCATATCGTCAGTGGTTTTTTCGAAAGCAAGCATTCTGAGGACCGGCCATAGACAATTTACAACTCCGACTATCGACCGAAGGGTGTGTGTACTGCTCATCAGTCCGCTCCGTCCTCCCTTATAGTTGGCTGTGAGACCTGGCCATTGAAAGTGGAAGACATGAAAAGGCTGGCTAGCTGTCTTTGATCATAGGTGCCTGCGTTCTATCTCCTGCATTAGGTGGCATAATAAGGTGAGCAATATTAAGGTTAGGTGTAGAGCGCTAGGTAAGGAGGGTAAATCAGTAGACGAGGCTGTGAAGTAACTACATCGACTGAGATGGTTAGGAAATGTATTGCGAATGTCTAGCCATCGCCTTCCTCAACAGGCAATGTTAGCTGACATAGGGTCAGGCTGGAAAAGAGCTAGCCAGTGGTGGTCAAATCAAAACATGGCTTCACCAGTCAATGAAATCCACAACAGTTACTTTAAGCCAGCCGCGTAGGAAGGTGTAGACGTCCTCATTGGTTGGGGTCCCCGGGACGATAAAAAACAGTGGTTGGAAACAATTGGTGACATGGCTCAAAATCGTTCTCAATGGCTGGCGCAGATTCATCCACTTCTTGTGACTTATGATTTCCAATGAAACTGTTTTGTTCTCCGTAATTACTACTCCTTTGTCTCACACCTCTGTTTACTGTGTATATTATGCATTTCTTCTACTTTCTTCTCTTGCTTTGTGTGCTACAAGGAGGGAGTGTGGCGACTTGAACTGCCGCACATCAGTGCAAAGTTCTATGTCGAAAACAGACAGATTATTTGGAGAACCATTGGAAAACCTGGAAGTACTGGACAGTTGTTTCGTCCTATTTTGGAGTCCTCCATGAGTACGTACGTACCCATGATCTCACTAATGGATCGAATCTAGGAAGGACCCTCAGTTTACGAAGCGAGCTCGTCAGTAGGATACATTTCAGGAATTCTAGACCTCAGTTCACTGTATTATTTAACCATCTTTCGTTCAACTGTCCAATGAAATGTGAGTAGTAAAAATGAAGTCTAGTGATTAGTGATAGCATCTTATAAATATTTCACACTGAGCTTCGATCACTGAATGCGTTCGTACACAAACCTATAGAGTTTAATGAGTGCGGGGGGGGGAATTCATAACCAATTAAAATCTGATTGACTAGACTGCGATTAGGAGGGGAAGCAATGCAATCTAATTTTCTGCAATCCTCGTTTTCCGATTCGAGTATCAGTTTTCAGGCTTTGAAGTCTCAGTAGCACTAGCAGCAGGGTTTGTTTTGCTAGCCAAGAGTCTAACCCTCCCTCATTTACAAACTGACTACCGGTTAGGTGAAGTTTAGAAGTGCATCGGGCGGGAATCGAACCCGGACCACGTGCACGCGTGGTTCGTGTCAGTGGATCTCGGATACACTAATATCCTCCAACGCAATAACTGCTGATAAAAATGAATAATAGATAAACGTAATGCAACTTGATTTCAGTGTAGAATTCCAGCAATTTTAGTACATTAGGATTTCATATCAGAGTGATTTTTTTGCATATCGCTCACACAGACACATACACACATATATTTACACTGTTACTTATTCAGTGATGGTGTTTAGAGCACAATTCGTCGCATGTAATTACATCCAGGCAACTACCACATAATCCTCTGACTTTGTTTACTTAGTTCTCTTATTTCTCATTATTTTAATGTTCTTGTTGGTGATGTTGTTGTTATAACCAGAGAGCCAAACTTATCGCTTTCTTAGAACTGACGACACTGTTCAGTTTCTCAGATTGAAATAGGTGAAGCAGGAGTCGAACCCGGGACCAACTAACTAGAATTAAAGCACTGAAACTGACGAACCATATCTCCAACTTTGATTGCATTGGTAATAATATTTTCCAATAGTTACAGTGTTCCCATAGTACATAGTTCCCATAGTACACTTAGAGGTGTGATTTCGTTAAAATACGAAGGATTTCATCATCAGCTTTACTTCCATATATGAATGGAGAATGCTCGAAGCATCATCAGTAAATAAATACTATTGGTGTACAGATGTGCTCCAGTGCGTCGGTGGCATAGTGGTTAGAAGGCTCGCCAACCATGCACATGGTCCTGGGTTCGATTTCCGGCCATCGACGCACTTCTTTACCTCGCTAAGCCAGAAATAATGCTGGTGAAGAGGAAAGGTTAGGCATGAAGCTAGCAACCTCATCCTGTAAAATAAACACTGCTTCAGAGACTTCAAGCCACTAGCTTGAAGCCCTATGTTCAACTGGGGAACGTGAAGGAAATAAAAAAACAACAGATGTGCTCCAAAAGCTGGGTAGTTGAACTGTGAAGCTAACAATGTCTTCATGAACACCATCTTCAGCGCTGATTTCAATATGAAGTTACTTTACCATTTTTTTTATTATCATTATTATTCCCTTGGGTTCTGAGTGGAACACAAGACTTCAAAAACACACCGCCACTTTGTTATACATTTTCTGCCGTCCTCTTCCGCTGGCTGATCCCACGATTGACCATAATCTCATCTCCTCCTCTAACTCACACGATCTCCTCCATGTCACCCTCACACCGACGACCCACTCGTCGTTTACCATTGGGATTCCATTCGAGCGATGATGGCCTGCACTACACGCGATGTCATTCGACGGCCTTCTCAGTGTGCACCCAACTCATCCATCTCCATTTTCTCCTACATACTTGTTGAGCGATTGACTCTTGCTTGTTAGTTTGCTCCCAGTCAGCCAGCCAGCTAGAGTTTGTTTTCGCTAATTCTTTCTGCCCAACCAGCCGTCTTGCCAATTGATCCTCAGTATTGAGCCAGCGAATGGTGGCAGCTGTTGATAAAAGTCCGCCATAGCCCTTTGGAAGTCCTTTCTGTGATGCTTATACCAAGTTTGTGACCTATATGTAAGAACTGACTGATTGAATGACTGCCTTCACTGACATTTGTGCTGAACAGAACCAGAATCCTTTTCCTTTGTGCTGAAGCTGAGGCGGAGTGCAGAATACTTCCAAACTGGTTTCAGGTTGACGAAGATGCACGTATCTTGCCTTCCCGATTCTGGCTGGCTGGCTCGCTGATTGGCTTTGATATCTTCATCCGTGGGGTATGCCTTTAGTTGAAATAATGGTTCCCAGCCGGATTAGTGAAAGATGTGACCTCTTTCAAGTTTCTTCTATTGACAGTGATCTGTGCAGGTTGTTGTTGCTGTTGGTCGGTTGGTTGGTTATCTTCACCACCTCCGTCTTTCCGATGTTCACCAGGAGTTCTGTCTTCGCTGCCAGACAGCCTCTTATACCAGTTTGTTGGTTTTCGGCTGCAAATCTTCAACATCAAACATAAACCATCCAAGCGGGAAATCCAGATCTTCAAGAGTCTTCTTACCAGTCCAACGTATTTCTGACTTGTCGCTCCGTACTGACACAGTCTGATGCATGAGCCAGTCCAGCCCAACCAGGAATATCATCGTTGGTAGTAATAGGCAGCAGACGTGTCTTACTCCTGCATTCACTTCGAACACCTCTCTGAGTTTTCTGTGATGGCTCACCTGACACATGCAACTGTCATATAGCTGTGATTGAATGAGGCTGATAAGGATTTGCAGCAATGCACACCATAGTGTTGAAGTAGTTTCCAAATGATTTCTCGGTACGGTCAACGCTGTCTGTTGAAGGCCTGTTCGAAGTCGATGAAGTTGAGACAGACATTTAACTACCATTCTACCGGCAGATTGATGGGGTGGCTGTGGGTTCACCTCTGGGTCCTGTTCTTGCTGGCATATTCATGGCTCATCTTGAACAAACTCAAATGAAAGAAGAAATAGAAAGAACCACCTATTACTGCAGATATGTCGACGACACGTTTGTGGTCTGCAATGATATAGAACACGCGTCCACAATGTTTGAGAAACTCAATGCGGCTCATCCCAACATTGCATTCACAATTGACTACGAAAGAAACAACCAGTTCCATTTCCTAGATGTCAACATAAAAAGAAGAAACGATGGGACGATTCAAAAATCTGTCTACAGGAAAGAAACTTGGACTGGTCAATACTCAAATTATCACAGCTTTCACCCAACCAGTTACAAACGAGGTCTAGTAAAAACGCTCTTCAGCAGAGCCAAAGAAATATGTTCAGAAGACAAGATTGAAGAAGAACTTGCGATCATCGAAAAGAACCTTATCGAGAATGGATATCCTCGAAAGTTCATATTAGAGTATAGAAATGAAGAATTACACAAACCGAAACCTGACACCATTGAAAAGAAACCAGTTTTCATCTGCCTAGCGTACAAAGAGGAAGACATATCCACAAGAACACAAGAAAAGAATCACAGGTGCATTAAAAAGAACGTTTCCAGCCGCCAGACTGATCCTATTTCACAACACTGTGTGCTCGTTAACCCAGTCAAAAGTAGATGAGTACCCTACTCACGTCAACTCCAACTGCATTTACCAATTCACGTGCACCTGCGGA